CAAATACTAAGGATTTGCTTTTAATTTTTTATTAAGTATTGTAGACATTTAATAGTGTTCTAGTAAACGGATAATTTTAGTTAAGGAGAATTCTCTCCTTAAAGAGAAAAGTCTTTTCAGTGTTCAAAGAAAAGTTTCTCCTGTATCTGGTCAGGACACCCCAACATAGTCATCTTTAGCAAATCAGTTAAAACTAGTTTACTTTAGCCAGACTTATAGAGACTACCTTCTCTAGGCTAAATTTAGCTTTCAGAAGACTGAGTTGAAGGACAATACTGAAGTATTTAAGTAAAGCAATTTATATTAGCAATATGTAGAAGAAGTGCAAAGCTATGAAAAAAACCCTGTGAAACATGCCTTTCAATTATTTCTGAGTGAGTAATATAATTTCTGAATGGGTAAGTTGCATAGGATGTTACCCAGAACACAGAAATTTCAGTGAAACCAATAAAATTTTCATCACATAAATGTTAGAAATGGTATATAGAAATAAATAATACCATATAGTCTAGACAGGTTTAAACACTGTGGAACAATTTAATTATTAAGCCTTTTGTTTTGTTAATGTAATGCCTAATCTAGTAGCTTTTATTATAAGACATTCAGTGCAGTTTTACTGAATCAATTCTTGTTATAGTTTCTACAGAAATAGTTTAAAACTACTTACCACTTAATTTCGGACTTGGTGTTCCCAAAGCTGGTCTGGGATCCTTCACTAATATTTTGGAACCAGCTGTTAGAAAGAATGAATGGCAAAAAGACAAATCAGTGGAAAAATGTGTTACTCAGAAACTACGAAAATAATTTCCATAATGTTTTATTTGTTATAAAAAATAACATGATGTTTCAAATTGAAATAGGAATGAGATTTCAGTCAGTATCAAGACTTAGTATCACAGCAGCACATGCTCACTGATTTCTTCTATTGCCACACTTTCTCCTACATCAGTCACCTGGATGATACCAAGTCATTTGCAATACCCAAACAGTGTAGGTTTTCACTTGAGAATCCATTCACAGCGCTGAACTCTGCATTTAATACGTGAGATGTCTTCTACTACGTCATCTCAGGCAAATTATGTCTTTCAAATTTGGATCCACACAAAACAGCACTGTGAACAGTGCTTTGACTAGAAGCAGTGTAATGCCAAACAGTGAAGAGAAACATAACAAGGGTGTTTAAAATCACGTTCCTCCCTAGGGTTTAATTATCTTCGACAGTACTGAGTGAGACATCTTGTGTTTAAGACTGAAAAGTCAAAGACGCATGCTTAATCTCTTTACAGTGGAGAGGAAGATCACTGTTACTTTAAAGAATGGCAACAGAAGGAAACAAATGAGGCTACCCACAGTATGTGCAACTACTCAGATGATTTGAGCACTGGAAGTTGGAGAATTAATTTTCTTCTCTGCTTAGAGCAGGAACTCTCCGACCATTGCATACGATGAACTAAATGCAAAGGGGCAGTGTCATTTGCTGCAGCTGAAGCTATTTTACTTTGCAGAAACTAATTTGGAATCACTGGGCTATAAAGACGACATATAATTCTGTCTCCTAATGTAGAATACTCTCATGCAGCACTGGGCTCTGTTCCTTGCTCCAGTGGTTGTTTCAATATTTTGTATTTTGGATCTTGGCTTTGAATCCAGGCTTTTTCTCTCTGATGATATTCTAAAAAAAATAGACAAAAAAACCCCAACTTTCTTCTGAGTGGAGCATTTTTCTACAAAGAAACAAACTTTAGTTGAAAGTATTGAGAATGTTTTTCTTGGGAAAAAACTTAGCTTATTACAGAAGGCTTACTCTTGGTATATAGATTAAAAATGGCAAAAAACAAGGACATGGGTTGGAATTCAACCAAAAGTTCTCATGGCCTGTTACTACTGATGGATTAATATCTATTTCCTCTCTGTTTTGAAAGAAACTTACTGAACTTCACTGAATATTGTTGACCTGGAGGTCATGTTTCAACAACATAAGCTTTTTGGATACATCAAGCTCAGATTAGAAATATCTGGACCATGCTTTCCAAAAAAAGGCTGCTGAATCAGCCATCCATGTTAAGCTGGATACATTTCTAGTCAAGTTCAGAACTGAAATATTAAATACAAAATAAAATTTTAAAAAAATTGTAAACACTAACTGGAAACTGAAAGAAGTTATCTATGAAGTTTAAGTTTCTACATCCAGATATTTCCTGAGGAAGACCTTCAAGATTGCGGTTTTGTATTTAGGGGACCAAATTCTGGTTTAATTCCCCTACAGATCCTTTCGGAGCTCTCAAGTCCAAATACTTTATTCCTTTTAATCTGTCTCTAAGTTATTTTTGTGAAGTTCACAATCACAGGTGAACAACCTGATCTGGTGCTCTTCTTCCTTCTATAGGAGTGAGATGTTTCACCTTTCTGTATTAGTAAATTTGAAAATATTTAAGAGATACTTTATTTTATCTAATTAGAGTTAATACTTTACAATATGTTACTCATTCTTTCCTTTCTCAAGTGCTAAACAGCAAGCAGCATGACCTCTGGTCATAAAAAATATGCATTTCTGTAACATTTTCTCAGGACATTGGGAAGCTAAGTTATATGACAAGGCAGATAAAAGCATAACTGCCCCTTAATACTTTTTAAAAAAATCTCATACAAGTTCCTTACTATGAGATAGGACAATTAATACTAATTGTTTCAACCTCATCAGCATAAAATTCTTGAATCAAAATACAACCCATGAATCACAACTGTCCTGGCATAACAATTTTAAATAATCATAGAATCATAGAATGGTTAGGGTTGGAAGGGACTTAAAAGATCATCTAGTTCCAACCCCCCTGCCATGGGCAGGGACACCTTCCACTAGACCAGGTTGCTCAAAGCCACATCCAGTCTGGCCTTGAAGACAGCCAGGGATGGGGCATCCACAACATCTCTGGGCAACCTGTTCCAGTGCCTCAGCACCCTCTCTGTGAAGAATTTCTTCCTGACATCTAATCTAAACCTCCCTGATTTCAATTTATACCCATTACCCCTTGTCCTATCACTACAGGCTCTTGTAAAAAGTCCTCTCCCAGTACCCTTGTAGGCCCCCTTCAGATACTGGAAAGCTGCAATGAGGTCTCCCCGGAGCCTCCTCTTCTCCAGGCTGAACAAGCCCAGTTCTCGCAGCCTTTCGTCATAGGAGAGGTGCTCTTCCTGAGCACTGAACAAGTCATAAGCTTTCTGGCAGCTTGCTTTCTAACACTTTCCCAAAGCTCTGTTCTGTTTCCCCCAGTGCTTGCCTGGCATGTAATGCCAGGACACCTGGTTTTTAGCAGTACAAAATATTAATTCCCTATTTCCCTTCCAAGTAGCAGTGTTTGGCTAAACAGCCTTTGAATGCCTCTGTAAGAGCCCTCAGGATAACCACATTTAAAACATTAGGTATTAGTAATGTGAAAGGTGCTTAAATTATTCAGTAAATAGAATTCCAAACAGTTGCTATACTTGAGGATGTTTCTTATCTGACATGAAAGGCACCACTCTCACCATGATTTTGACGTGAGGTTTTTCATGGCCTGCCATGACAAAGTATGTAGTAAAAATTTGAAGCAAAATAACTTGTTGGAACATGAAGGACAAAGTAGATACGTTTAGTTTGCAAGTATTATATTGTTGCTTACATAGAAATCTAAAATAATATTAAACCCTATGGATTAATTTCACGCAGTGATTCAGACATCCACCTGGACTTCAGGCATCCTTCTCCAACACTGCAACTGTCATAGCTCTTTTGCAACTGACACAATCTCGGTAAATAAAATTATCCTCACCTAAATTTAGTAGGCACATGCAAAAAACATCAGGATTATTACTCCACTGAGTTGATGAGAATGCAGTCCACACCTGATTCAGTCAGGAGTCTAAAAGCAAGTGTTACCCAAGTATTTAGCCTCCAGAATTTTATCTAGAACAGACACCTCTGAGCATGCAAACGAAAGACAAGTACATGAAAGCATATTTCTCATTAAACACAACTGACAAATGTTATTCCCATAGATGTTCTCCCTGTTCTCCCTCTTAATTCTATTTGCCATTATACTGTACCTTATTAGACTGCAAGGAAAGGAAATAACAGAAATATGAGAGATAAGAGATGCAGTGGGAAAACAGAAGAGCTTACCTTCACAAACTGGAACTTTCCCCGTCCATGTGCCATCAGACCTACAGGCTCTATGCTCTGATCCTCCCGCTAGGAAAAAGCCTGGCTGACAAGTGTAAATCAATGTATAACCAAGTGAGGGAAGATCCATTCCAGCAACATTAGCATGAGTTGGTGTATCTGGTTGTTTACAGCTGTGAGCTATAAATAAAAGACATAATAACCTTCAGTCAAAATGGCGAAAATATTTTTGAAAAAATAATCTATACCCATAGTGACAGGCAGCTAATGATGAAAGCTTCAATAAAAATAACATATTAATACCTTTTTAATTCACAGTAAAAAATACTATGTAGTATATAAATTACTGTCCTGAGTCCATAAATACACTCTTGAAAATGGACTTTTAAATTTCAAGGGACCAAGAACCTATTTAAATGCAATACATGACCAAAATGAACTGTCTGCATATGTAAACACAAACAGTGCACATCTTACCATAGTTAAAAAGCAACTGTGGCTTGTGACGTACATGACTTAGGATAGGTGCATAGCATTGACAGCCTATCTTTAACAACCACCAGAACCTCAAGGTTTTGAGTTGCCTCAAAAATAGCATAACACCAAGAACAGAGCTCACCTTTCAACACACTGAGCTATTGATTTGCTGTTTGCTTAGGGGGAACATTAGCACTAACTGAAAAACTAACACTGTTTTCTTCTGTGAATATGGTTTCCGTACACTGAAGTGTTTTTATGAAGTCAGACCTTATAAGGTGAAACTATTTGTAGAAAAATACAGCTGGCTGGCTGAAAACCTGGAATATTAATCATGTTTAATACTACTTTCTGAAGTATTAAAGTATGAAAGACCTAAGAAAAAAAATGTTACTTCCAGTAGTCAAGTAAGAAACTTCTTTTCATTTCAGATTAAAAAAAATTTTGCAATTATAGACCCCTTTTTTCCTCCTTCTTAAAATACTCTAACTCCTTAGTTAGGAAACAGCTCAAATGCTTTCTTAGAACTGATTGTAACTAACTGCTCCAGTAAAGTTAGGTAAAGAAGAGCTTTCCTACACCTTCTGTTTCCACCACCTCCTCCCAACTTCTTCATAATCTTCACTGGAAGGGTTGCACCCTCTTAGGCAGAAACTTACTATTTTCAGTTTCTCTCTGGATGAAGAGCTGCCTCTTTTTCTCATTATTCTGTGGTTTTGGTTGTGGTGGGTTTTTTTGGGGGTTTTGTTTTGGTTTGGTTTGGGTTTTTTTTAATTTTATAGGCTTTTCTAGAAAAATTCACTCACATCATCCCATTTCTAGCTGCTGTAAGCTAGTAATGCAAACCTGTATTAAATTTAAGTTAATACATAGCTATGTACATAAGTTAACTTTATAACAATGTTACTGTAACTAAATAACCTAGATTAAAAAAACCTGCTAGATCAAAAATCTTTCATTTACTTACGTATACATTCTGGCTGGATTCCACTCCATGTAAGATCAGGAAGGCAAGTTCGTGTTGTTGAGCCATGGAGAAGGTGTCCTTTTTTACATTGAAATTGAACAACATTTCCCACCTGTTAAAAAGTAGAAAACACAGTAATATTGTTATGAGGAAATACCAGTTTCCAAATTTGATAGTAAATACCTTTATATAATGCAGGCTTGGTAAATCATGATGCTCTTTCTGTATAAAATAATTTCACAAAACATTTTGAGATTAAATAAAATTTTCTTTGTTCTTACTAAAATTACTCTGTCCCCAGATTGAGATTCTCCACAGAGAAGAATTGAATTCTTTTCTTTTGTGGTCTCTCAGTTGTGTGGCTTTGAGTTTGGAACAGTTGAGGCACTGTGAGTTTGAAAGCTCTGGGCCATGGAGGAGCCAGCAAGGGAATCTTGCAGCAAACCAGGGAACTTGCAGAGCTGAAATGGGTAATAGATTCTTCTGGACCTTTGCTGAACTAAACCACCCTTTGTCCAATGCTGGATGAATTCACACATTATAATGAGAAAACTTCCATTAGAGCATGCAAGGGCTGGTCAGCAACAGTGTCTCATGCTTCAAAAACTTCAATGTCCCTATAATATTTTTCTACTGCTTTTTGATGACAAGAGGTAAAAAAGAATTGTTCTTTATACAAGTAGATAATAGAAAGCAGAACATTAAAATTTACAATAGCAATTAATCTGAGTTCAGGTTTTAATGATTATTCTTATTATGGTTATGTGTTGCATAAAAAGGAAAATACAACTCTTGAGTCAATAACATTTTCTGCACAAAAATAACATGGAATAACTTGTTCAGCATTTCCAGTCATGGTGACATTGATGGAAATGCAAATAATTCTCAGTTTACATCAAAATCAGGGAAATTAGATTACAAGTATATAATTCAGAAAATAGTTTGTTTCATACTGTAAGTGGTTAACTCAAATAATAAGGTGTATAGATCACATCTACTGTTCAGCAGCAATATGTATTAATGTATTTATTAACCTACGTTTAAAGATGAAGTTGAAAATTCTGAACTGTAAGTGAACCATTTATGGTTCTGGATTTTTGTTTGTTTGTTTGTTTACATTATTTTGTATAAAAGTGTAACATTTCATTCAAATTGATGTCTGAATGTAAAATGTGGACTTTTACCAATATCTTAATCTTGGGAAAATGCATTTCACTGGTACAAGTAGTCGTTTCAAACCTTATAGTACTATTCCATTTCAGGGCAAGCGTCTCATCAGAATGAAAATTAATAATAACCCAAGAACTTCAGATAGTAGCTCATCAACACAGTATGTGATTTAGAATTTATCTCTTTTTTTTTTTTTTTTTTTTTATCTTTACTGTGCTCACTGGACTGTGTAATTACTTTTAAAAGATTTTGAAGAAAATACACTAAATCACTTTCACGATTAAGAATAAAGAGGGAAAACAACAAAAGTTTTAGAAGTTGAGTCAAATAGAATTACTTGCTTTGTGTGGTAAAAAGCTTGTTTGAAAAAATAAACACCAATACATTACTTTAAAACAAGTACTAGTCTTATGAAGGATTTGTTAATTTCAGTACAAGTAATGTGTAATTCTAAAAAATTTAAAAATAAGAAAGAAGTAATTAAAAAATGACTTTTGGAAAGTCCTTTTGCCATAGTGCTGTGCCAGAGGCACCAGGTGGCGCTACAACACAGCCGTCTATGGTCCTCGAGACTTCTCAGTCCGGAGACGTTCTGGTCTGTTCGAATTTTTTGTTACACGGATTGAATAGCAGCACTGGTGGGGGAAACTGCGGAAACAGCTGAAATATCTCTGTTCACTGTAGTCTCCGCATTTAGAGAAGAGCTGGTCTATGTGCAACAGTGTTTGCATCCAATCCTGGTTTCCTTGCATACTGCTTGATCATCTCTGTTCCACTTGTGCTTCTTCCATAGCTATGGTTTGGATATTCCAAAAAATAAACATCACTGACTTCCCTTTTTGTTAACAATCAATGACCATATGTTTGCTATACCTTAAGAGGAGAAATAGCAATGTGAAGAAAATGCATAAATATCAACCTACAGCCATTTGTGAAGAACAGAATAGTACTCTAGATTTTTTTTTCCACATAATAACATTATAAGCAGTGAGTCATGTAAATGTGTGTTAGAAACACAAATTACCCCAGGTGAATCAAGAATGAGAGAGAGAGTAGGGAGAAAAAAAAAAAAAAAAAGGTCAAAATCACATTTCTGCCAGTGAAGCATGCCAGTTGCTGACACTAACATCCCCCATTCAGACCTGGCTGAAGCCACAGACCTCAGGATCCTGAGAAGTAGAAGAAACTAGGAAAAGTCGTGTCTGGTAAGGTTTAAGTTACATTTTAATTGATGCAGTGATGATGCCAACTGTGCTAATGGAGACACCTATACTGTGGTAGTACAGAACTTCTCTTGGAATTTCATTTTATAATTTAATCACCACTGAAGTTTTTACAAGCATTACATTCACAGAAGGAGATTATTTGCAAGATTGCTCTACATCTGCAGGTCAAGGTTCATATGGCATTTCATAAAACAGAACCCAAAAGCTAACTGTTGTGGTTTAACTTTGGCCAGTAAAATACCATGAACCAGCTTTCACACCTCCCTTTCCCTCCCCGCTCACCCC